TTGGTGCAGGGGATAATTTCAAAGTTTTCAGATTACACAAAACTTGGAAGAATTGTAAACTGTGCGGAGTGTAGTGTGGAACTCCAAAAGGACATTGACAAGTTAATGGGGTGGGCAGAGAGGTGGCAGATGACGTTCAATGCAGAGAAGTGTGAGATAATGCACTTTGGTAGGAAGAACATTGGAAAACAGTATAAAACAGGGGGTACAATTCGAAAGGGGGTTCAGGAGCAGAGATTTCTGGATGTACATGTAGACAAGTAATTGAAGGAGGCAGGACAGATGGAGAGAACAGGTAATATGGAGGACACAACAGTGTCCTTGGCTTTAGTGATAGAGGCAGAGAGTACAAAAGCAAAGAAGTGATGTTGAACTTGTAGTAAAAAATATTTTTGGAGAGTGAATGCACTGCTTGGAAATATGGCAATTTGATTCTTTTAGCTGTAGTTACTATGACAGTTGGTTAGACAGGTGACTTTGCAAAATTGCAAGACATTAAGAATGTGAGCTTTTATTTTCAATTAAGAGTCACCCATGCAATCCATGCGCTGTCAGAAGCTTTTCTTTTTCATTTCCCTCGACATGAAGTGTGTGAAGTGCTTTTCATGACTGACACTGATTGACTCGGTGCACAGCTGGACTTTAAATGTGGTGCCGGTAGTGCAATTCCTGAAATGTCCCAGCAGTGGTGAATATTGCAAGTACAAGTGAGCACAAAATAAGTCTAGCATTGTACTAGATGCACAATGTATACATAATGTGGTGAGCAGCATAATGCTATGCGAGATAAATTGCTGGACCTCACAGAGAGGAAAACCCTATGAAAATCCCTGAAACTGACACATGGCCAATTATTGGTAAATTTTGGTTAAGGCTGAGTAGCATTGAGTTTTTGGAGGGTTTGTTGATACAAGGCCTGGTGAGTTCTCTCACCATATCCTGCTAAACACTCCTTATTAATTACTGTATGGCATCCCTTGTGTCCAATTTTCATGCTACCATACCATGCCTTTTCTGGATATCCTGGAAGTCAGCAACATCCTTTGCAGCTGTGTCATCATTAAAAGCTTGTTGTGCACCCAGACAAGAACTGTCAGTCCAGTGATACTTTGCACAATTCTTGATGTTTGCCCCAAATATGGCAAACAGGGGGAAATAAGCAACCTGATTTGCATATAGGGTCCTGTGCCTGAGGTCATGCTGGATACAGTGATGCCAAAAAAGGACTTCCGCTTCCCCCAGGGCCAACAGTGGAGGCCACAACAACAAACCATGCCTGTTCTGTCTGAGGTTCCCACCTAGGTTAAACCAGGAACAAAAACAAAGTTGCTGGAAAAGCTCAGCAGGTCTGGCAACATATGTGAAGGAAAAAACAGAGTTAACATTTTGGGTCTGGTGACCCTTCCTCCGGAACCGAAACGTTAACTCTTTTTTTCCTTCACCGATGCTGCCAAACCTGCTGAGCTTTTCCAGCAACTTTGTTTTTGTTCCTGATTTACAGCATCTGCAGTTCTTTTGGTTTTTATTAGGTTAAACCAGTCCCAGCAATATGGAAAGAAGGTTCTTCTTCGCTCTGTTAGGGTAAGTTCCGCCATCTTCTTTTTGATACCTCACTCTATCTTTGCTACTCTACCCATCTTTCACCATGGCTCATGCTTTACTACTCTCACTGTTGCCTGCAACATCTTCCCAAACTCACTCTCACTTGCCCCAGTACCACAAACCCTGCAAGTCATCTGCATTGCCTACTCACTTGCTTGGTACACCTCTCCAGCTACATCAACAGAAATAGCTGAGCCACCGACTTTCATCTTCAGTAATATCTGCTGCTTTTTCATAAAGCCTACAATAGTGCAGAAAAAGTCTGACAGGTGATGTGCTGCCTCTCGTTCAGCTCCTCACTTCTTATGAGGAGAGGATCCTGACCCTCATCATCCTGAGCATGACCTGGACTGGTATTGCAAGTTGCCTTGATACTGCTAGGACCCTCTGAGCGAAGCTTATCTTCCTTGACTGAGGACTGCTGATAACTAAGACAATCTTCCTGACTTTGCGTCTTTGCAAAAACATCATGATGACACAGTGGTATTATAAGCTGGTATCCATGGCTGAGCATGGAAAACTCAAAAAGGCAAGACAAGGCAATATAAGACAGGGTGCTGTGAGCATCCATGTATGCTCAGAGTAAATGAGTGCCAGGAAAGCAAGTGAGATGCAGCTTGTCAAGTCAATGGGCTGGGCGCATGTTTCTGAGTGCACAGCGTCCTTGCTGCTGCATTACAATAGTAATCACTCGTGCATCCGAAGGCACATTACTGAAGTGCAGAAGCATTCTGTAAGTGGTTGGGAAATGTGTTATCAGGATTCTTAAAGGCTGACACATGTCAGATGTAAATTTCCACAGACATGGAGTACATGTGGCAGGTGCCTATGGAACATGCCCTGACATAGTGATGACAATACAGTGTGGAGCTGGAGGAACACAGCAGGCCAGGCAGCAACAGAGGAGCAGGAAAGTTAACATTTCAGGTCAGGACCCTTCTGGAACATCAACTTTCCTGCTCCTCTGATGCTGCCTGGCCTGCTGTGTTCCTCCAGCTCCACACTGTATT